AAACTATAGCATTCTATTTAAAATAACGAAGTTATGGTCTACTTATGGTAGACCGGAAGTTTCGGCCATCTTGAAAATATTTTAGATGGAAAGATCCGAACGAACAACCCATGCTACCAAAATTTCAAACCTCTATGAATAGTGGAACCTTAAAAAGTTTTAACGAACTAGTTACGTCAGACAGCCTGTATATATTATATTATACAGGATGTGTCAAATGTCTGGAATATAGCCAATAACGTCGCCATTTGTGATTTTAAAGAAAAATGTTTCAAATAAAAAATTCTTTATTAAATGTGGCGCATTTTTTGGCGATTTACATTGTTGTTTTTTTCGTTGCTAAGGCAACCAACATTGTTATTTTAAATGGGATGCCTATGTTTTTTTTTGCATATTTTGATAGAGGATAAATCCCTCTACGCGATAAACATATCAAATCATATGGTTGTATAAGAAAAAATCGAGAAAAAATGCGTATTTTGATAGAGGATAACTATCAAAATATACAAAAAAATATATGCATCCCATTTAAAATAACAATGTTGGTTGGCATAGCAACAAAACAAAAGCCAATATAAACAAGCAGATATCGCAAAAAATTTTGTGCCATGATTAATACAGAATCTTTTATTTGAAACATTTTTCTTTAAAACCACAAATGGCGCAGTTATTGGCTATATTCCAGACATTTGACACGCCTGTATAAGTATACCACAACAAATGTAACCACATATACTGGAGTGAAAATGATGACAATTCACGTAAAAAAAAAATAGTAAAAGTCCTCAAATTGCAGAGATACAGACCATCAAAGTTAGGAAATTTTAACACATTTTTCTAAATATCTTAAACACTATTTGTGTTTACCCAACATTTTTGCATTTAATACGAAAATGGTGGATTTTATCAATATTCTCTAAGAGTGATAAAAGTTTCTAAACTAAATTTACGATTAGAAACTGAAAAAATAAATGTAGGGTCATGATAGAATAAAAAAGTTCTGAGCAAACAAACTTTAGGAACAGCCTGTATAGCATTGTTCCCGCGTACCAATGCAAATCAAAAATTGCATAATGATTTTACATGGTATTAGTTTACACTGTACCAAATTTCAACCCTTTACCATAAATAGTGTTTAAGATATTTAGAAAAATGTGTTAAAATTTCCTTACTTTGATGGCCTGTATCTTTGCAATTTGAGAACTTTTACTAATTTTTTTTACGCGTGTGAAGTTGGCCATAGATTTTAAACTGAAAAAAATGCGTGATCGGGGTATTCAATCGATCTAATTTCAACGGCATCGTATTCATGGTTGCCTCTTGTTTCAGATTCGAAAAGAAAATTTTCCTAACCATTTCTTATTTTCCGGGAAAATCGGTTTTCTTCAAACTTTCGCAAAATTCGCAAAATATAGAATATAAATAGAAAATTATATATCTCAAAATTCTGACAATATTTCGAAGCTTTGTTTATACTGTGGCGAAGCAGCAAAAGATATTTATTGTCAATTATGCCATAGATATTGTTGTAACGTTTGCGTAAATAATGATAAATACATAAATATATGTGAATTGTGTGAATGTAAATAAATGTATGTATATATAAATTTCAATCGTATGCTTCATTGTTGCATAATATTACATACCTAAAGTAAACATTCTTGCCTTTGAAATCAAATGGTATTAATTTGTCTTTCGAATCGGTGCAGTAATATATCAGCGCGACAGGTAGGTGAACGTCCCGAGGTTTTCGTGTCATAGCTGGGATTCGTCAAAATAGGTAAACATGCCTAAGTGTACTTCGGTTATGGAGATTCTGCGGGGGGGCAAGTTAAGAAGCTGTGGGACTTAGTTCCCGACTAAGGTAGGCTTCTTAGACAACGAATAAAAGCCCCGGAATATAGGAAATGGTTAGAAAAATTTTATTTTCGAATCTGAAGCAAGAGGTGACCAGGAATACGATGCCCTTGAAATTAGATCGATTAGAAACCCCGAACAGGCCAAAATTTGCAATTGTTTGAAGAAAAACGATTTTCCAGGAATATAAGAAATGGTTAGGAAAATTTTCTTTTTGAATCTGAAGCAAAAAGGCACCAGGAATACGATGCCGTTGAAATTAGATCGATTAGAAACCCCGAACAGGCCAAAATTTGCAATTGTTTGAAGAAAAACGATTTTCCCGGAATATAAGAAATGGTTAGGAAAATTTTCTTTTTGAATCTGAAGTAAAAGGGCACCAAGAATACGATGCCGTTGAAATTAGATCGATTAGAAACCCCGAACAGGCCAAAATTTGCGATTGTTTGAAGAAAAACGATTTTCCCGGAATATAAGAAATGGTTAGGAAAATTTTCTTTTTGAATCTGAAGTAAAAGGGCACCAAGAATACGATGAAGTTGAAATTAGATCGATTAGACACCCCGAACAGGCCGAAATTTGCGATTGTTTGAAGAAAAACGATTTTCCCGGAATATAAGAAATGGTTAGGAAAATTTCCTTTTTGAATCTGAAGCAAAAGGACACCAGGAATATGATGCCGTTGAAATTAGGTCAATTAGAAACCCCGAACAAGCCGAAATTTGCGAATGTTTGAAGAAAATCGGTTTTTCCGGAAAATAGGAAATGACTAGGAACATTTTCTGTTTCAATTTAAAGCAAGAGGCGACCAGGAATACGATGCCGTTGAAATGAGATCGATTAGAAACCCCGAACCGAATCGGCTGAAATTTGCGAAAGTTTGAAGAAAATCGATTTGCCCGGAAAATAAGAAATGGTTAGGAAAATTTTCTTTTCGAATCTGAAGCAAGAGGCCACCAGGAATACGATGCCGTTGAAATTAGATCGATTAAAAACCCCGAACGAGCCGAATTTTGCGAAAGTTTGAAGAAAATCGATTTTCCCGAAAAATAAGAAATGGTTAGGAAAATTTTCTTTTCGAATCTGAAACAAGAGGCGACCATGAATACGATGCCATTGAAATTAGATCGATTGAATACCCCGATCACGCATTTTTTTTCAGTTTAAAATCTATGGCTGAAATCTATGGCCAACTTCACACGCGTATTTTTTTTACATGAATCGTCATCATTTTCACTCTAGTATACGTGGTTAAATTTGTTCCCCGAGTCACGGAAACACCTGTATATACTTATTGTGAGGGTACATGAAATAAATGTGCCATCTTTTTGGAGTTACATTAGCTTAAACATCCAACCCAACCCCCAACAAAAACCTTTGTTTCGCTTTTATTTTCAAATATTCGTTTCGAAATCCTAAATTTTGTTTTAAGCACTGTTTATAGATGAAATACATCCTAGCTAACCATTAAGGGGATATTATAATGGTATTAAACATTTTCAACTTCATTTAGTTGTAATTAGATTTTTGACCAGATATTCATAACTTCCTAGCACTGTGCATCTTTACGATCTATGTGCCTTCAATGGTAGAGCCTCTTCGTAGTCATACTTCTTGAGATGTTGACACCTCTAGGTACTTAGATTAAACTTGTCCCCGTGTGCGTTTCCAGCTCTTTTATGTGTTGGATAGATTTCTGTTGCGTCTGCCACCGCAGTACTGGTCTGTCCAATGAAAGTCCACTGCACTTATCACAGAGATGCACAGACCGCGGCCCGCCGGTCGAATACTGGTGGCCCGCCGACAGCAAAAATAATATTCTCGTACATTCGAAAAATAATAAATATTAAAGTACTTTGTTTCTTTTGATATTGTGAGCGACGTCCATAAAACTAAGACGGGAGCTTATTGGTCAGCAAGCTATGTTTATAAAACCCATTCAAGATTCAGAAACAGCTACAGAAGTTACTTATGAAATTTCTCGAATGATAGCAAAGCGAAGTCGCCCCTTCAATGATGGGGATTTTGTAAAAGAATGCATAGAAATTGCCGCTAAGAAAATGTGTCCAGAAGCAGCAAAAAAGTTTGAGAAAATTCAACTGAATCGTATGACTATCCAAAGACGAATTATGTCTTTGTCAGGCAATATTGCGGAACAATTAACTGAAAAAACTAAGATCATTGATTTTTTTTCATTAGCACTCGACGAATCCACTGATATTAGTTCCACAGCTCAACTTCTCATATTCATACGAGGTGTTACTCAAGATTTTGAAGTCTTAGAACAGTTATTAGGAATGTGTCCATTGAAAGGTCAAACCAAAGGAGTTGATATACTCAATGTACTTTTGGATGAGTGTTCAAAAACTGATTTGGACTTATCAAAATTATCGGGAGTTGCGACTGATGGTGCTCCTTCGATGATTGGTGTCAATTCCGGACTAGTTACTTTGCTGAAAAAGCATCTGCAAGAAAAAAACATAAACGCTGAAGATCTCATGCAGTTTCACTGCATTATACACCAAGAAACCCTCTGTTCTAAAAAAATTGAATTTCAAAATGTCATGAAATTGCTAGTTTCGACTGTAAATTTCATAAAATCACGAGGACTCAATCACAGGCAATTCAAACAATTCCTTGATGACATCGAAAGCGAATATGGAGATTTACTGTATTATACAGAAGTAAGGTGGCTAAGTCGTGGATTGACACTGGAACGATTTCTAAATTTAATAGAAGAAATTGGAATATTTCTGGCGGAAAAGCAAAAGGATGTCCCGGAACTTAACAATCCTGATTGGTTGTGTGATTTGGCTTTTTTAGTTGACATTACAAATCATTTGAATGTCTTGAACACACGGCTTCAAGGCAAAAATCAACTGATATCCCAGCTCTACGCTCATGTATCATCCTTTCAAAGCAAGCTGACACTTTTCAGATCGCAATTGAATTCTGGAAATTACAATCATTTTCCGAATTATAAGAAAATGGCTAAAAAATTCAACAAAACTGCGATTAATTTCAGTTATGTAGAAAAGCTAGATATTTTGATTCAATCTTTTCAAGACAGATTTTCGGAGTTTAAAAAAGTGAAACCTCTGTTGGACATATTCAGCAATCCTTTCACGATTTCAGTTGAAAATGCGCCAGAGTCAATGCAGTTAGAAATTATCGACATTCAAAACGACCAAGATTTACGCAACAAATTCAACGAAGGAGACTTGCAGAACTTTTACCGCTGCATTGATAAAAATATGTACAAAGAGTTGCGCATAAACGCTCTGAAATGTGCCAGCTTATTTGGTTCTACCTATATATGTGAACAAACTTTTTCAATACTAAATAATAATAAAACAAAAAATCGAAACCGCCTTGCAAATGATAGTTTGGAAGCAGTTTTACGTGTTGCTACAAGTAAATTTGAGCCAAATATAAAAAAGATTGTAAGCACTATGCAGTGCCACGCTTCAAATTAATAAATTCTTTTTCAATTTTAATACATTATTATCAATTCTTTTTTTTCAATTTGCCCGAGTGGCCCCTAGTCTTAATAAGTCTGTGCATCGCTGACTTATCAGATATTTTGTCCATTAATAACCGGAGATTTAACAGCTATACAAATTACAGCCGACAAATTTCATTGGTTTGGCACATTAAACTTCTCCGCCGTCTTCCGGTGGTCAGAGAGGTTCAACAACTATCGCTGACTTTTTATTGAACCTTTCAAAACATCATAAAAGGCGATATGGGATTGAACTTGGAATGATACTTTTTGATAATATCCATTTTTTATTTTGATGTTTTCTTTATAGCTTCTTATTTACCTCAGCTATTCCAGTTTTGGTGTGCTAAATACTTGTCGATTTTGCGCACATTGTGTTTATGGTCTTTCCTTTATTGATACTTTAATTTGAGCAAAAACATAAACAGATTCTAAATCTAAATAAATGGAAAAACTTGCAATGCGGCCATAAAATATTGCATATTGCAAAATATTGTATTTGAGAAACCATTCATTAAAAGATTCAGTGGTCACCCAAGTCTTTTTATTAGCGGTCCACTGAACTGGTAAGGTGTCTATTTACACCTTTCATAGACCCTGGTCTTAGAGTTCGATTTACAAGTAAAGGTTTTAACATCCGATCTCCTAACGCATTAGAGCAAAATAAAAAAGTTACATGGTCTCTGGCTGCTTTAAACTAACTGGCCGTTTTATAGAATTTAGGTACGAATGTTGTACTTGGCATATGTTTTCAGAAAAAACGCACTCCATAGCTGATTTTCCATTTTCAATTATTTTAGCTATTCTTGCAGGAAATTCTTTAGCTGCCAGATCTTCTGCAGATCCAATTTCACCCTTGATCTTTATACAATGCAGCGCTTGTCTTTGTAAAAATCCATTCATCCATCCCGTGCTTGCAGAAAATTAAAATTTTGTTCTTTTCTGGGCTGACATTTGTGATACAATTTCTTTAATCTGGTTGTAGATTCTTAATGCCATCTGCTTGATATTATTTCCGTCAACTGGCATCCGTTTTTGAGACATATCCTGCATCCATATTACCACAGCCTTTTCTATTTACAGCTTTAAAATATGTCTTGTGTATGAAGCACTTAATTTTGTCCCAGCAATAACAGATTTTTTAACCGCGTCCTCATTTTTGTTTCAATATGGAGCGCTATGACGATATACATTGCGATTTCGCTTGCTTACACGTATCAAACTCATTTCATGCAATTTTCAACCTTACTATATTCCTTCTTAGGAATCTACTGTCTATTAGCTTCGACGCTTTATGTTATGTATGTTATCTTCCTTAGTTTGAGTCATCTTTTTTCTTCTCATTTAACTATCTTTTCATTTTTTTATGTATCTGAACTTATTCATAACTTAAAACCCTCACGAATTTTTCAATTACAAAAGAAGATTTAAAGAAAATTTCAATTAAAAATATCTTAAAAATTAATTAATCAAAAGAAATTACCTTGCACATAATGTAAGATAAAATAGCACCAGAAGATCCAATAAGTGCTCCAACGACTGTCATAAGATTATTGTTTAATAGAAATCCTTCCGCGCAAAGAGCCCAACCTGAGTAGCTATTTAATACTGTTATAACAACTGGCATATCAGCACCTAAATTAGAAATAATTTGTATGAGAAAAACTTCTTTTAGCAAGCAATTTTCTTTTACCTCCAATTGCTGATGTTAAAGTAACTCCCATAGCTGCTGAAAGAGCTGCCGTTGTTCCTAATGCTCCAAGACCACCACTCATGCTTGGATCATAAAATAGATAACCTCCAGCTCCTAAACTTGCTAAAAGCATAGAAGCGTTTAAGGCGTGCCTACCAGGTAAAAGAAGTGGATTCGATTTTAAGAATCCTTGGAGTTTTCCATAAGCAATTAAAGAACCACTAAAAAAATACGATTAAATGCTTTTCCTTAAAAATAAACAATAAATAACTTATGAAACAAACCTAAATGTAACTCCTCCAATGTAAGTACCCAAGAATAAAGAAGTTAATAAAACATTTGCGGATGGATTTCCCAACAAAGTAGGTTGGTCATGAATAAAAGTAGCTACACATGTTAAAACAGCAGCCATACCAACCAAACTAAAAAAGATTAAAAAAAAATTATTTAAAATTTAACAAAAACACTAAAAATTAAATTAAAATGTGGAAACATTAACTTACCATAACTAAATCAGGAATGAGGATTAGGAAAAGCTGGATATAATAACCTATTTTTTTAAGTTACCTATGAAACGCTGCAACTAATTGAGGTAAATCACTAATTTGAATTCTTTTCGCTATCAAAGTTCCTAAAGCTCCGCCACCGATCATAGCAGCTGCCATTTGGGCTAAAACTTCGTTAGTTGGAGCCAAATGTCCTAAAGTTGCCACTATACCACCCGAAACACCAATCTAAATTTAATTTAAAACAATTATTACAAATAATAATAAATAAAAAGAAAAAATTTGTACCATTCCCAAGCTATTTCCTAATCGAGACGTTTTCTGGGAACTCAACCCCGCTAAAGCTCCGACACAGCAAAGGGAAGCGGCCAAATAAGCTGCTTGATGAACTTCAGGGAGATTTTGAATTGCTGCATATCCGTAACCACCCATAAATAAAGCAGCTGGAAGAGCGTACAACGAATTGTACTCTGGAGGATCTTCCGGTCTGAAAACAATCTTTTTTATTACATGTTTAAAACAATTTTTAAATTATTTAATTAAATTATATAAATATCGCCACCCTACAAAATTAGGACAAAATTTTTCGAAATATTTCATTTGATGGCTGGTCCAAAAAGATGGGATAAAACCTAATATATTTTTAATCTGAAGAATAAGACAAATGCAATCCGAAATGTACTTACCAATGATTTATTTAAGAAACCAAATTTGTGAGGGCATTAATAAAAGTAATAGGAAACCATTTGTTGATATGCTAATGTTAATTAGAAAAGAATATATAAAAGTGATTATTACCTTTTAAACATATCCAACATCCGTTTAGTGACGATGAAACCTCCGAAAACGTTTATAAATGAAATAAAAGCAGCTGCAGCTGAAAGAGTCTTAAGAAAAAGAATATTTAGCATATTTGTTTTATTAACTATTATTTAACCGTTTGTGTCCCGATGGTACTTTAAAGTACCGGTAGTTACTTTACAACCCATCAATTATTATACATCATTTTAAAAAGAAAGCTTTGAGCTTTAATTTAAAATAAGTCTCATTCCTTAATTTCAATAAACACGGCTTCCAGGAATTTTTAAATTAGCATCTTTTTTGACACTTTTAATTTATAGGAAAAGGTAAGATTTGTTTCAACATTTTTTTTCTCAATATTTTTCCAATCCAACCCATCAATTATTATACATCATTTTAAAAAGAAAGCTTTGAGCTTTAATTTTAAAAAAGTCTCATTTCTTAATTTCAATAAACACGGCTTCCAGGAATTTTTAAATTAGTATCTTTTTTGACACTTTTAGGTTATACGAAAATGTAAGTTTTGTTTCAACATTTTTTTTCGTAATATTTTTCGAATCTAACCCAACAATTATTATACATCATTTTAAAAAGAAAGCTTTGAGCTTTAATTTAAAATTAGTCTCATTCCTTAATTTCAATAAACATGGCTTCCAGGAATTTTTAAATTAGCATCTTTTTTGACACTTTTAGGTTATACGAAAATGTAAGTTTTGTTTTAACATTTTTTTTTCTCAATATTTTTCCAATCCAACCCAACAATTATTATACAGGGTGTACAAAAAGTATGGAATAATGGTTCTACAGCCTAAACTTCAACATTCAGGAACAGTGTTTGTTAATACAATTTTTTGCTAACTTGAAATTTTAATTTCCCACTGAACAGTATGCTGTTCTTTTAATCAAGATTTTCTCAGTTAAAATAGTATCGTTTTGTTACTAAAGTTCCGTGCCCTGATCATAATGTGATTTAGTTAAAGCAAGTGTTAGTTATTTTTTAACGTAATATAATACATTTAGAAAATATATATATATATTATAATACATTAGAATACATTTTTAAATGTATTCTTTTTATATTGGCAATAAAAGTTTTTGTTTACTGCAACATACTAAAATATATTTTAATCCCTGATGGTACTCTCAAGTACAATTATCCCCCTGGAATGGTGGGATTGCATATTTTGCTAAAATTGATTCCAAAGGCCTTTACTGAGTGTATTTTGATAGCGTTTTAATTCTGTCACAATGTTTCAAAATGTTTGACTTCTTGGGACACAAAGGGTTAAACAATTAAAAAGAAAATCAATAATATCATGTGATATTACTAATGTTTGTTGTGCTTCAATCATTTTTTATTGACTTCATATTTACTTACCTCAACTGAATTTGTTGGATAATAACCTCCATTCATTAACAATAACCCACCAACAGCGGTTATCCCCGAAATAGCATTCGTAACTGACATTAACGGTGAATGAAGAGCTGGAGTAACACCCCAAACGGTGTGATAACCGACGATTCCAGCTAAACCGAACGTTGTTAACATTGAGGTAAACGCGGGGTTTGGAGATACCATTCCTAAGCCAATTATACTTCCAATACCTATTTAAAAAAAATATTATTTTTTGTGTTTGTCATAATAAATCATTGCTATCTTACCTCCAGAGCACAACATAGCATCCTTAAACGTAACCATAAATGGACTGTCTGGTTTAGGTTCTAATTTAACAGCTTGAACTGGAGTTGGAGCAACAGCTCCAGCAGTTGGTGGTGGACCAACAGGTTTTGGTGGGGGCCACATCATTGTACCTTTGTCTAAAATGATACTACCACGAACGACTTCGTCTTCTAAATTGATGTTGAAATGGTTTTGTTCGCCTAAAATTTGAGTTTAAAATTAGAGTTTTTAAAGAATAATTTTTTAAAAAGCGCACCAATAGAGAGAAGAAATTTAGAGATGTTGTTAGCGTATAAAGTTGAACTTTGAGTAGGAAGTCTACTTGAAAGATCAGTAAGGCCAACATGAGTAACATCATTAAATTTATAAACTTCGCCTGGTTTGGTAGTTTCGATATTTCCACCACTCTCCGCTGCTAAATCAACAACTACACTTCCGGGTTTCATAGACATAATATGTTCCTATCAAAAAATAATCAAAAATACATAGAAAAATCAAAAATATTTTCTATTCACCTTTAATATCAAAAGTGGTGCTTTTTTTCCGGGAATTAAAGCCGTAGTTATAATAATATCAACTTCTTTACATTGTTTAGCAAATAAAGCGTGTTCAGCATCAATAAAAGCTTGAGACATTTCTTTACTGTAACCACCAGTGGTTCCACCTTCCTCTTTAATATCAATCGTTAAAAATTCAGCTCCCATTGATTCAACTTGTTCTTTTACAACGGATCGAGTGTCAAAAGCTCGAACTATGGCCCCCATACTCTTTGCTTGACCAATTGCTGCTAAACCGGCGACTCCACCACCGATTATCAAGATTTTTGCTGGTGGAACTTTACCAGCAGCCGTAATTTGCCCTAAAGAAAAATTATAATAATTTGGTAATAAATTTAATTTTTAATACAAAAATTTAGATTGTTTTACCTGAGAAAAACCTAGGAAAATGATTTGCTGCTTCAACGACTGCTCTATAACCCGATATATTTGCCATGGAACTTAATGCATCAAAAACTTGAGCTCTGGTAATACGAGGAATACAATCCATAGCTAAAAATGATGAATAAAAAATGATTGGGTAATCTTAAAGGTGATAAAAATATTTGATAAATACAGTAAAACCTCGATATAACGAAGTAATACGGAGAAGGGAGTGTGCGTTATAACCAAAAATCCGTTGTATGAAAAAATTTTAATTTGTACTTTAAATTGTTTGCACGAATAACTACCTGGCTTTATATTTATATCAAGGATGGTAGAATCTAAGGACTGCTACATTCCAGAAACAGATGTATAGCTCATGACGTCACGAATAAGTAAGCAACTACTATTTCACACTTTGAATTAGCAAATTCATGAAAAACATTTTTAGCAACATAGAACAACATTTTAATATTAAGATTTTCGATTCAGAGTCGATCGAAGATTTCTAAACACCCTGTATATATGTATACAGGTGTCTCAGGGAGACCAGTCAATAGACATTTCTGGGGTTCTGGGCAAAATAAAAATTCGAGAATTCAGATTTAAGTATTATCAGATTTCTAACACTTCCGGTTATACCGGAAGTCACCACCTACTTTATTTTTTTAAATGGAATACCCTATATATTTTTACATATTTGGATTTGTCTGTTATCAAGGTTTATGAATCTGACCAAAAAATGTAGTAGATAATGCAGCGGAAGAGGCGAATACCTTGGCTTATTTCGTGCCCAGTCCCAACACCTCAATTCGAGCTCAGAAAGAAGATTTGGGAATCATACTACGAACTTTGTCGCGCTTTTCATGTATAAAAAATAAATTAAGAATTACTTGATTTGTGTAAATGTTATTTTTGTTATTGTTATCGATTTTAACTCTTTTACTACTAATATTAAGGGACCTGACAGATAATTATTAGCTCACATGCATCAAGTGACGTAAACAAATGAGTCTTTGACAAGAATTCATTGAGAAGGCTTGCTTTCCATGGCACACTAGGCTAAATATCCATATATGTGTGCATTTTTTAAAAAACCCTAATTATCTCCCAAACTATTAATGTTAGGTATAGAACATATGGGTTATAAAAGATGTAGAGTGGGACACCGAAGACGACTAAGTAATAAAATATAGGGGGTTCCATTTAAAAAAATGAAGTTATGGTACCAAAACATACTCCATTATGTTGCTTAAGAATTAAAATTGAGTGTTCTCTGACTTTTTGAACAAATGTCTGCTGGAGCAAATTTTTTTAGAAAAACTCGAATAACTCGAGAACAGCCGAATCAAATTGCAAAAAGTAAAGTTATTTAAAAACCTTGATAGCAGACAAATCCAAATATGTAAAAATATACATGGTGTTCCATTTAAAAAAATAAAGTAGGTGGCAACTTCCGGTATAACCAGAAGTGCCAAAAATCTCAAAATATTTTAGTCAAAGAGAACGTAATTGATAATACTTAAGTCTGAATTCTCAAATTTTTATTTTGGCCAAAACCTCAGAAACGTCTAATGACCGGTCTCGCTGAGACACCCTGTATGTAAATCTTGGAAGTGTAGTGCGCCATGAAAAAATATAATCATATTTAAAACCTTACAAGAAAAGCACTGCCGATGCCGTGGTAACTAGGTGTATGCCAGAACAAGAAAAATCTTCAGAAGCGGCGTTTCGTGTATGCTGGACGCTTAATAATCATCAAAAGCCATTTTTTGATTCTGACATAATCAAAGAATGTTTATCGCAAGTGGCTACAGAACTTCTTGTAAAAAAAAAGACATACTCAACGCTATTCAAAGTATACATTTGTCGGCATGAAGTAATACACGAAGAACAAAAATTTTGGCTGCTGATAACAAATGTTCTTTTACAGATCACACCTTGTTACGCTATTGCAGTGGAAGAATTATGTAATATCATAGTTGTCAATGAGCAAATGTCCGTTTTTGTTCTATTTTTCGATATTGAGAAAGAAGTATTTCGATCAGAATTGCTGACTATTGAAAGAAAGGGCCCGTAAAAGAGATTTATTTAAGATTTTTGATGATTTTATAAGAAAACCAGAGTTTAGTTGGTAACTTCCATCGATAATGATAGGCAAAGACAAAGGATTAGTAACAAGAATTAGAAATAAGAATGCTGCGTTACTATCTTATCAATGCATCATTCACCAGGCAGCTCTTTGTAGCAACCTCAGTACGAGATCAATTTTATTATATCTCGTTCTGCGCTTCAACATAAACAATTTGGAGAGTTTTTGTCAGTAATGTTCGTTAATTGGACCGCGTTATCCATCAATTGACTAAGCGACAAATGAATACTGTTGAGAAAAACGAGATTTTCGTTTTCATCTCTCTAAAAATATAAGACTTCACAGAATAGACAAGCTCAAACTATTGAAAATTGTTTGGTGCTTGTCCATTTTTATCACAGAACACTGATGTCAGCTATCACAAGCACAGAAGCGAGATTAACTTCAGTTAAAAAACTTCTATTATAATATATGATAACATTGATAACTAACTTCAGGTTTAAAATGTCAACCTCAATTTTGACATATTTGTAATCGTCGTGATAAAATCCTTTAAAATGAGTAAAAACATGATACGTTTAATTCCAATATTATCGAAATATAAGCAACTTCCGGTTTGAAATGTCAATGTCATTTTGACGTATTCTTATTTTTTATAAAATGTGTTAAAATTTGTCACAAAAACGGAAATATAATAAAAAATAAATAAAAAATTAAGGTTGGTATTAATATTTAAAAATTAAATTGCTATCTTCATTGTTACTAACTTAGGGTTTAATGTTTTTTATTCTAACTTTTTTGTTTTTTGAGATAATTGCGTCATCTTTGGACTCATTTTAAAGGTTATTTTATGAAGATTACGAATATAATAATAAAATTAAGGTTGATATTGACAACTGAAAGTTTTTTTCACGACTAAACCCGAATGTTTCTAGTTCACGTTCTAGTTTTAGTTCAATAAAAATATACAACATAGTAATATCTTATGCTAACTAGTGCTACCCTACCACTGCTAGTAAAACTAACACTAGACCGAGAACTAGAAACATTCGGATTTAGTCCCACGTCTCTCAAGACGGGTAAACACGAATGATTCTAGTTCTAGGTCTAGTGTTGGTTCTAGTTTTAGTGCAATAAAAATATGCAACATAATGATTTCTTATGTTAACTAGCCTACCTACCGCTGTCGTTTGTAAAATGATTAAGATGAGAGATGTTAATCTATTTGTAGAGTCGCTGAAGACGGCGAAGACATAAACTTTTAATATTATACAGGGTGTCAGTAAATCGTATAACGTGATTGGCGCTTAGCTTTATCCTTTAAAACAAATACTACTAGTATTTTAGGTTTTTCGGTATTCTGCATTTTTTCTAAGATACTTTACCTACCAGACAACATGAAAATCTCTAAAAACGATAAAATATCGCTTAGTCAAGTGATGTATAACGCGGTCCAATTAACGTTTGTGCGCGTATTGGCGTATGCTGATTATCTGGTAGTGATTGTGAGGGAGGCGGGTGAGATGATGGCAATGATGAGGTCGCTGGAAAGGTATTGTAGCCGGAAGGATTTGGAGGTGAAAACACGTAGACAAAACAAAAATGATGAAGTTCTGTGAATTGGATCGAAGGAAGAATGACAACTGGAGATGGAAAGGGAGGGTGATCGAGGAAGTGAGGGAGTACACATACTTGGGGTACAGATTTAAAGAATCTAAATCTTTAGAATGTTGGCTGCGAGGGCGAATAAGGTTATGGGACAGGTTTGGGGATGGAGTGAGAGGATTTTTGGGAAAGATGTGGGAAAAAAGTAATTAATGTTTGTGAGCTTGATAAAAAGCGTAAGTATATGGGCATGGAAGGAGCAAGGGCTCTTAGAGGATATGCAAACCAGGTACTGGAGGTGAGTATTGGGGTTGGCTAGGGAGACTACGGGATATATAGTCAGGAAAGAAATGAAGCTAGATAAGGTGAGGGAGGAATCGGGTGTACGAGCGGTGGGTTTTGAGGAGAGGGTGGAAGGTAAAGGGCATTGTACAAATTTGGGGGAGTGCTACAGACAGATTGAGGAAAGTTATATGCAGCGAGAAACGGAGGAATACTGCAGAAGGGTGGGGTATTCAACGAGAGAAGTGAACAGGAAAAGAAAAGAGAGGATTGAGATGTGGACACAACTACAGAGCAGGGACAGGGATGTGGGAATGCAAGAGAGAAGGACGGCGATAAGGGAACGCAGGTACAATCCAAAATATAATGACATTATAGTAGAGGGGCTACCAAAGTACCTGATGATTGAGGGGGATGAGGAGGAGAAGAGGTTGGTAGCCAGGTTTAGGTGTGGGAATGAAGAAAGGGCCAACAGATATTGGATGGAAGATGAGGAGAGTTTGGAAATCTCTACACTATCTGCTGGTGGAGTGTAGTGAGTTGAGCAAGGAGGTGATGGATTGGTGACAGGTGTTGGGGGAGAGGGCGGAGGGAAGCAGATGAATGGGGGAGGTGGTGGCAGTAAGGAGATGTAGGGAGACAGGAGACAGTAGTTATGGATAATGTTGTTCTTATTTTAACTTTTTTAATTTTATATTGTAATCTTCTACAGACAAGAAATTATTATCATTATTTAAGTAAAGGCCAAGTGATTGAATGTTTTTGGGAAATAAAAGAGCAAGTGATCGCCTTCTTAGAAAGTTTGACCAGATTAGAAGGGAAAGAATACTCGGAATTAGACTTAGAATATGGCAAATTCTCCAATATGGCTTTTTTGAACATTTTAAAATATTTGAATGCGCTTAACGTAGAGTTGCAACTAAATGGGAAGTTAATATCTGATTTAATACAAAATGTGTTTGCTTTTCGGCGCAAGTTGGATATTTTTGAAAATGTTATTGTTAATCAGCAATCAATTTTCCAACCATTCTTCAATATAAAAACAATTCCGAAATAGAACTGTTGTGTTTTTAAGGTTTATATCAGACCTTAGGAAATATTTGACGAAAAAATTCCAACACTTTGCTGAAATAGGAAACATTTGTTGCTGTTTTTAATATTAAAGTTACCAACAATATTAGTTTTTATAAGTAATTTTAAAGAAACCAAAAATTACTCTATTTCCTTTGGATCTTTTTTTTTTGGGCCTCGATAAAATTTCTAAAAGTCATTAGGACTGTTTTGGTTTAAGAGTTCCAAAACAGGCCTATAAGGACTCTACTAAAAAATTTTTGCCGACCGTTGTAAGACAATTCGGGGAATACCCCGACTTTATCTATGAACGTAGAATAAAGCAACTTGAACAATAACCCGACTTGGATTTTATCTGTGAGTGCTAAAATATTTTGTCCGTTATATCGAAGTTTCACTGTACATAAATAAATAAATATTTTTATTGTTATGTAATTAAAAGTTAAGAAGATTATTATTATGGTTCGATAACATTGAAATGCGGAAATTCGCTAAACTAGAATGTGCTTGATTACAGTTATTACACCAGTTTCACTTTCCCACACTAAGTTTCTCTCCCAATACATCTTATTTTATGTTACATTGAACAATCAACAATGATGACGAATCGCTTACCGAACGCATTAATTTGCTTCGTTCCCATTTGTTCAACCAAAGATTTGTTTTGAGCCGGATATAAAAATGAAATCAATGTGCTATCGGATTTTAAGAATCCAATTTCGTTTTCTTGAGGTTGTCTCACTTTCAAAATAATATCTACAAAAAAAAAACTTTTTTAAAAAATTTTTGTTTTACAAAAATTAATTGTTACCTGATTTAAAAGCTTCATCTTTCTTGACCATTTTTGCACCGACTTTTTCGTAATCCTCATTCCTAAACATGGCATTAGCACCGGCATTTTCCTCGACTTTTACAGTAAATCCTTTTTTAATTAGTGTCGCTGCAACAGTAGGAGTTAAAGCAACCCTACAAGAAATCCAAAATTTCAAAGTAAAAAATTTTAATTATTTTTTATTCAAATTATTTCTTCACCTTTTTTCGTTTAACCAAGTTTCTTTTGGAACTCCGATTGTTAGTTGATCATATGGTTTTCCTTTGATCGTTTTTGCAGTATCGGCTTGTTTTTGCATCAGTCTTTTCGTTGCTTGAGTCGATAACCATTTCGTTGAACCGTTCGAAAATGTTACCCTACATTTCGAATTAATCGTTTTTTCTAACAAATCCAAACGAATACTCGATTTGGAAGTGCTTCCATAAATACGTAAAACACCGTGGACCATTTTTATTGTTGTAAATTGATAACGAAGTTACTTTTCTTTTTGGAATTGTTTCTTGGTTAGTTTAGATTTAAATTCATCTCCTATAAAAGAAAGATATAAAATAAAAAAACTTAAAAAAATCGATATTTCGTTGAAATGAAAATGGAATGCGAATATATTTTTAAATGAGTGAAACCAAAATTTTGGATGAGATTCAAAGGATTTGAAGGATTCAAAGGTGAGGTCGTTCACTTTTCTAAATTAGTTTAAAACTTTTTTTTATGCAGAAGAGATAATAACGTTTAGTATAATTTTTATTAACAAAATCCTTTTATGACGTATTAAATTGTAAAAAATGTGATAATTTATATCGTGTTAGATAATTTATCTCGTGAGGAGTAAACATTTAATGGCATTCAGGTGATTTTTTATGAAAAACGTTACTTGTAAAGATAAAAAATATTACGAAAATAAAACTGTTGGTTTTATAAATGAATGAAAAATAAATAATAAGATTTTTTAAAGCATGGAATGTAGTATTTGATTAAAAATGGTTTCTTTTCTTTTGGTTATTTTAAAATCATCTGTTTAACATTAAAATTAACATTTTAAAGAGCCAACGGATTTTATTGCCTTGAAAATAACGTTTATCTAAAATTTTATTTTGGGGCCCATAAATCCAAAAAAGTTATTTAAATGCCTATAACAAAACATTTAAAAAAATTGTACTCAAATGACATTTTTCTACGAGTTGACTTATGCAAAACTCGCTTAAAAATACCATTATTTCAACCCTACTACTTATCCCTAAGGATGCAAGCGATTTTTTTTATAATGACGCCTCATTCAATAGTTAAAATGCATACAAAAATCGTTTAACATTAAGTTACTTTTATTGGTCTGCAGTAAAAGGTTAAACAGTAGTAAAAAAAAGTAGCTTTAGAAAAATAAGTTAAATACGGCTGATACAAAAAATTAGGAATACAAAAAATTTGTTAAAGGAGCTGACATCTTAATACACCTTATTTCGCACGTATCCAATTACTAGATTGGAGAACTTAACAATATTTTTCAAAATGGTAAATAAAACTGCGCACAAAATCAAAATTGAAGTTTTATATTATGTATTCTACAAAATGAAAATGGATGTCCTGTTGTTTTAGCACATCTTAGTTCTTATTCTTTACCTTTTATTCATAATAGGTAATACATTATCGGTGTCTGAGTAGAATTGAACCCTGTGGGGTTTGTTACTGCCCCATCGGGCACCTCCCTAGGTGCCTGACAGGGAGATGCCTCCCAGATATGGGTGGTACTGGGAAAATACTATTGAAATACTATACTATTGAAGAATGACTCCTCAAAGTACTCAAAATCAGACACTTACAGATGATAATCACATAAGATTTACCCTATGCGTATACACATCCCAAAGAACTCAACATGGACTCTCGCTTAAAGGCATAAGATATCCGCTATGCGATCCGACTGGTAATCGACGCTGGAGCACCAGAACTAAACTATGAACATGAGTGACCAGGCATCCCATAGAAAATATGCAACAGGAAAACAAAACGTGGTCTGAACTAAACTGGTATATCAGAAACCCATAAGAGAAACAGTGAAACAACTGAAAATGAAAATCTTCTCATATATTCGGATAACGAAAACCACAGCATTAACGGTGTGGTCTTTCTTATTCACAAAAACTGTAAAGAACCTGTCTTGGGACATGAAACTATCAACGATCCAATCATGACCCCGAAAATCCATGCAAAGTCACTCAACCTAAACCTAATATAAATCTATGCCCCCACGTCAGCATGCTCCTTATTGTAATAGACAACTTCTATGTTGAACTCTCGAATACATTAACCATAATACATAATCAAGCACTTTTAATTATTTTGGGTGATTTTAATGCAAAATTATTAGGGACATAAACATCGATATACATCCACGCACGGTAGTAAGAAAATATGGTATAGCACAACGAAATGAAATTATGCATATCTAATTCTCATTTCCACATCATATCAGGAAAATGTATAGTTAAAGATCGCGTCATGGATATACACGCAAACAAATTGACTACGTTCTTATCAAGAGTAGATAAAAAGCTCTATTATAAGCTCTAGATATAAAGACCTAGGGTGGCACAGAGCTGGGACGGATACAGGAGAAAAGTATTCGAGTACCGGATACCGGATACTTACAATGTATCCGGATACTTTTTTAAAAAAGTACGGATACTTTCTCCATAAAAGTATCCGGATACATTCTCGGATACTTTTAAAATGACCTAAATTATTGTTAAATTAATATATTGTCATCCATATTTTACTTATAGTAAATAATAATCTTTTCTCCTATATTTTTCCCGAGTGGTGTCTCGCTGGGGAAATGTAGTGTGCACTTGCTAGGGAATAAGTTCTTTGAATTTTTTCTAAAAGGGGAAATGTAGTCTACAAATTTTAATCGGAGAGAGAGCCCTCGATTTTCTCACAATAATAAAAGAGAAGAACAACTAACTTCCAACATGTAAAGCCACAATTATTGATGTAGTCACAAAAGATGTACAATAATAGAAGAAAAAAAAATGGGGATTCAAACACTCTGGTGTATATGTACGTCTGTAATAATAGAATAGGAAATAAAAAAAAACTTAATTAAAAGGTATCTGAACACCGAAAAAAGTATCCGGATACCGAATACTTTCAGGATTAGTCACGATACCGGATATCGGATACCAAATTTGAAAAGTATCCGGATACATAGTATCGGATACTCAAGAAGTAACCGGATAGTACCCAACACTGGGGTGGATTGTGGAAGTTACCATAATGCTATAGTGGCAGAAATAAGTCTCAAACTACAGAGTAATACCTTCCTCCAAAAACTAACCCATTGTATAATAGTAAAAATGCGGCTTTTCAATGTACTGTTAGAGATAATATTGACAAAATATAGCAAGAAAAAAATCAACCAAATACTATTGAGCTCGCTGCTACTGCATCTGTAAATCCTGATAAAAACCAATCAAAGAAACCATGGATAACGCAAAAAAGTTGGGAAAAAATCTCCGAGCAAAACAAATTAAAAATTAAAGGATTACAGGAGAAAGAAGACCAGGAATCATATAGAATCCTTAGGAAAGACATTCACAGAAGGAATAGGATTAACAGAGATGCACACATTACTTCAATATCCGAGGTAATAGAAGAACATGCACACCAAACCAACTATGGGATCTGTTTAAATGTATATTTTTTTGAAATAATGTTTAATGTATATGTCACAGGTAAAGCGTGCATTTCAGTTAATGTACACATTAACCAGTCAATGTATACATTAACGTAACGTTTTAGTAAAAGTATTTATCAGTCATAGAGTGTATACATTTACTAGTAAATGTGTACATAAACTAGGCAGTGTATGCATTTGCTAACAGATGTTAGTAAAAGTTATAGCAAAGAAAATTTACGGAATAATTTTTTTAATGGAAGGAACTGCATGTGATGCAAGTAGTAAGTAAGTATAGTAGTAACCATTTTTAGGGTTGGGTTGGGTTGAGTTGGGTTGGGTTTGGTTGGGTTTCGTTATGTAACATACTAGTAAACGTACTTTAAGCTTTAACTGGGCGTCATTAGTAATTGTATACATCAAGTAGTAAAAGTTTACACTTCGTATTTTATATTCACATTAACTAGATAAATTAGTTAATGTATGCATTGACTAGACAATGTGTACATTCACGGAATGAATGCTTCAACTGTAACATATACACTCTATGAGTGATAAATACTTTCACTAAAACGTTACGGTAATGTATACATTGACTGGCTAATGTATACATTAACTGAAATGCACGCTTTACCTGTAACATATACAGGATGTATCAGGTATGAGTAGAAAATATTTGAGGAGTTATAGGTGTCCTCTTTCTAAATAAAAAATTCTTATAATACAATGTCCCATTCTTTGTCCTTCTTAAGATATGATACGATAAAGTTAAGGGTTCACAAGTTTGAGTACTACTGGTTAATGAATTATACTGAGCAGGCTTTGCTTTGCAATTTGTAATTTGTTTCTAGTTTTGTAACTTTGTTGTTTTTAATACAATAAGCAAGTTTATTGATTAAAACAAAAATTTTTGTAAATTTTCACATTAAAGAGTGATAAAACAGTAGTGATAAATTTAAAAACATATCTCAAAAATGACTTTTATGTGTCAAATTAAAGCTATATACATAAGCAAAGCCTGCTTAGTATAGTTCTTTATACAGCAGTACTTAAACTTTCAAACCCTTAACTTTATCATATCATATCTTAAAAATGGTAAAGAATGGGACATTGTGTCATAAAAATTTTTTATTCACAAAAACGGGACCTATAACCGCTCCAATTTTTTCTACTCATACCTGATACACCCTGTATATTCCATTCCACAAAAAAAGAGCGAAAAGATGAATACAGTAACTAATGAATTATTGCTCTAATAAATCACGCAAGCAAAATATTACTATATTTCATACAGGAATGCCTCAAACCTACTTTCTTACCAATACACTCCCAGGACATGGAGGTTTTGTACCGGAACGAGGCATAAGAGATCGAATTTTAAATCTAAGACGCATGAAAAGCTTTATGAATATAATGCAATGTTCTATTTCTGGACTATAGCTAAATTTCCGACCATCGGACCTATCTTATCAAGCAGCTATATGACAACATCCTGAGCTAGGATGACATAATATAGGAATCTAATACTCGGAGTACTTTACAGCAGGAAAAGGCGTAAGGCAAGAATGCATATGCGTATCTGGAGAATGGATAATGCGGAAAGTCTACTAGCAAGATTGGACCCTATCGCAACAGGTAAAGATGAACAAGAAATGTTTGAACTCTTACAACGAATTGAGCAAGTAAGCCTGAAGTGCGGACTATGACTGAATAGATCTAAATGCTACTTGATGATTATAATTATATGATTAATTATATAGATCGGGCGGGTATGGTACCTACACCATTGTAGTTAATCCATGACATAAGGGCGGCTCAGAATAAGAAATAAAGAGACGATTCGGAATGGCATATGAGG